TATAGATTACAAATCAGATTTTTGTAGTCTTTTCGATTTTTTTTCTTTTTTTATAAAATCTAAAGTACTAAATGGAGAACAAATTTTATAAAATGAATTTTTTCATTCCTCATATTTTATAAAATGAGTTTTTTTTATCCCTCATTAACTATGTGTATGAATAGTTTTTTAAAATTCACGTATATATCTATTTAAATTCACTTGAATAATGCGAATAACATGTAATATATCTCTATTTAATTTCACCCAAACAGGTTAATTGTAATTGTATACATGCTATTCAATATATATATATGAGTTTAAAACTAATAATTTTATTTTAAACTCATGAATATATTTATTTGATTTCACCATGTGAATTTGTTCAATATTTGTGGTCTTTTCTCTTTAGCAATAATTTATTTATTGAGTTGTATAATAAGGTCATCCAATTAATGGGTCCTAATTCGAATTCTACAGTCATGCTAATGAATTGCAATTTAAATTTGAAATTTCTACTCGCCACCTTTAAGACCAACAATTGAATTATTTACTTTGTGATTGTTTTAAAATTTGAAAGTGCCAATTACTTACTTCTTTTTATCATACTTTTTCTTTGATTATTTTTTTTATCCAAATTTAATTCGATATAAATACTCGACAATGTTGAAATTATTTGATTTCGTCTAAATAGGCTAATGGTAGTTATACGCGTGCTATTTATATTGTTCAAATGAAATTAAATAGATACATATATATTTTTTAAAAAAAAACTATTCATACACATGATCAATGAGGGATACAAAAATTCATTTTGTGAAATACGAGGGATGAAAAAATTCATTTTGTGAAATATGAGTGACTATGGATCGAATTGTGTAAAATTAATTTGATAATTTTACCCTTAAAAAATGATCACGTGCAAGGTACGTGATGGATTCCAACCAAATGCTAGTCGGAAACTTAGGTAGGAACCAAATTTGACCAATCTAAGTTTGTAAGAAACATAAAATTACATTTTAAAAATAAGGAACGAAAAATATCATTTTACAAAATGTGTGGGACGTTTTAAACGATTTTCCCTTTTTAAAAGCGTCACAGACCCAGTGGTGGCCGAGCTCAACAACAGACGCCAGATTTTGACTCCCCCCCCCCACACACAAAAACTTGTAGACAATGAGTCCAGTAGTGGCCAATAGCTAATAACCAATTATCGGGAAATTATTTTAAGCGGACAATTTTTTTTTCCCCTTTTCATAGTAGGAAAGTGGTGGGATTTACTTAAGAGGCGGAAAGGAGAAAAAAGGATCTAAACTCATAAGCTCTAATTTCTCGAGTCTTAACTTACCCAATCAAATTTTTGAATAATAATGAGCAATGATTAATTTAAAGGATTTTTAAGAAAATAGCAAGTGTATTACCAAATTGCTAATATTGCTTATATAAAGGGTCTCGTATTGATGTTATTTAGCATCATCAATGGCGACAATCATGCAACACTTCTTTACGTAATTGAGCACTCCCTTGAAGTCTATGAAATACGATCTAGCAATTCATGTAAGGTCTTCATCTCTGACCAAATTCCTAATCTAGATTATGAACATGAAAGGTTATCAACTAAGTTTTTATTTTATATTTTAAGGAAGGATCTCTTTAGTTATTACTACTTTTTTTTCCCCTGCTGAGATCTGTAAATGAAGTTTTTTACAACAATAATATTGCCGTTGCAGGTCAAACAAGTTAGGTTCCATTTGATAAAACTGAATCTGAATTCTAAAGTCTGAATTCTGAAATCTGAATACTGAAACAATTAATTTGCCGAATTTTAAGTACTGAAAAGAAATATATGAATGTCTGAATTTTAATGTTAAACCTATTTATATTGTTTGGTAAACATTTATAACTGAATGCTTAATAAGTTAAATTTGACAAATTTGTCCTTATATCTTTTCATCCAAAAAAGAAATAGAACCTATGATTTAATTAGCTAAAAATGTTAGGTATGAAAATGACAATATTTATTTTTAAATCAAATTAATATAAAAGATGAAATATATTATATGAGGAGTATAGAGAAGATGTGAAAATCATTCAAAAGGGAGAAAAAAGAAATAGAAAATCATTAGATAGATAATATTAGATTATTTAATTAGATAAGAATTTTGAACATAATTAACAAACAAAGGTAGATTTGATAGATAAGATAAGATAATTGAAGTAATTCTATTGATTTCTATCAGAATTAAGCATTCAGTTAGGATTCTTGTGTTGAAAAAAATACACACAAGTTCAGAACTACTTAACAAGTTCAGCAAATAGATTTTCATTTATCAAACACTCAAAACATCTGAATATCTGAAAAAATTCAGATTCAGCACTTTTTTATGTTATCAAACAGACCCTTAGATAAGTTAGATTTATGAAATTAAGGGTGTGGATGATAAAACTGAAATCTAAAAACTGAATTATGAAATCTGAAATCTAAATGCATTAAGTTATTGAATTGTTAAATATTAAATCTAATACATGTGAGTGCATACCACATTCAGTGATAAGTGAATAGTTTATCACTTAATTTTAGGAGTAAGTTTTGCCTAAAAAATTAAGTGTCACTTAATTAATTCAAATATTTAATTTTTTATTATCAAACGGTCTAAATATGTTAAAATTCGAATCCATTAAATTAAGGTGTTGTACTGAATTATCAAGCAGGGCCTAATACTATCATCAATAATCACCAAATCAAAGATAGAGCATCCTTTTCTTGCTGAATGTCCGCTTCGTCTTCCAAGTGGTAAAACCAGCAAATCTAAGGAATGGTGTTGGTATTTATTTTTATCTACTGAGTTAATATTTTGTATAATATTAATGTACAGATAAATGGATCTTGATGCATGTTACACAATTTATTAGATTTCAATTTGAAATATTACATCATATGATATGCATCGAGATCCACTAACACATCTATTAACGATGTATAAAAATTTAATCCCTATTTATTTGGCAATGCAACAAGAGATAAGGAATACCCAACTATGGAATTCATTATCAAATTCTCATTTCCTTTCCGTATTTTCTATCAAATGCATCATTCCTACGGTAGTCTCAACGGGAATATCCATTCCTTTTCTTGTCTAAAATCTTAATATAATGGTTCACTTCCCATTTTCTCCATTCTATTGCAGGTAATTCCTTTCCATCCCTCAATTCTGGAAAATCTAAAAAAGGAAGTTTGCAAAAATACGCTACATATTGACACCACACCCTCTGACATGCACCCAGAACTTATTTTTCCTTCTTATTGACCCGAAGAGATACTGCCCTTTTATTTTGTTCTCTAGCTAAGATTATGATACTCTATCTGTTCAGCCTTGTCTCCAGTTTGGAGCTAGCTTTGATCTGACGCGTATGATTTGCTCATTGGACCACCAGAAATATTAAAAAGAAAAATAAGCTTGTGGGCAAAACTGAGGGACGCGTGGAAATGCGGCGATGCGCGGCCAAGGCGAAGTGACATAAATAATCTTTGGAAAAGAAGATGGACGGACTAGTGGTCGAACCAGAAATTTTTATGCGGAAAATGTGGACCTTTTTTTTTTCGAAGAAAATTTGAATATTAGATGACTTGGATATAACGTGGATGGATAAGTATCAATGTCGAGTTTGGCGTTCCAACTTTCTATTTATGTCTTTGCTTCCAAAAAAAAAAAAATCTATTTATAATTTTATGCTTTTTCTTAATGGAATGTGGAAGAATTTAAACACGCAATCTATTATTTACACTCATTCTTTTAAACCATCTAATCCATCCCTACCTAATTTATTATTTTGTGCTTATATCTGCTTTGTATATTCATTTCCCTTTTCAATTTTTTTTTTAAAAAATTTCTACGCATACTTGGATACTCTTAATTATGTATTTAGCAAGAAATTATAATTGGTTGCCATGAAGTCCTTGGGTTGGATTGATCGACGCATACATATTTCGGAGTATGCAATGGAAATCAATGCCCAAAAATACAGGTCTTGCTTTGATTATTCTTCATAAAACAATTATGATTAATTTTCTATACATTAATAACTTATATATATTATAATTCGAAAGTATAATAACTTATCATAATTTAAATTTAAAAATCATATTTTACATGTGCGACACACGCATTAAAATTTATCAATGTATATACTATCGATACATAGAATATTAATTCAAAAAATTTAATCTATTCATCCTTATGAATTTCAAATGTTTCTCGACCAAAACATGCCCAATTTCGTCACAATACAATAACGTAGTGAATGCACACACATCTACAGCTAATTGAAATTTCAATGCACAATTAATATCCACAATTATTTACAACATCTTACCATTACAATTTGTGTCCTGGGGTTGTCCCTTGAGCACGTTTTATTACCTTTGGCAACTTGCTTGTCTAAGCACGTAAAATCATGGATCTCTGCCAATGTGTTAATGTTGCACTTTTCCACCACAGCAATGCCGCGGCCGCCACAGCCACCACCACTTGGAAATTGTCGCCTGGAAGTGACGTGGATTTAACTTCCTCAGATAATTCGGGAAACACGATAGTACCCACACCAGATCGATAGATTTTTAGTTTCTCGCCATGTAACGATTTAATAAGACGTGCTCGCCCAGCTTCCATATCCTTCTCTTTAAAAAAAATTATTTTTCAAGGTGTGAAATTTGGTTACAGTAGCATTCTTGCATTTGTTGTAAATTCCATTAATTGTTGCATATGACAGTGGACTGGAAATTAAAGTATTGGAATAGAAGATTTCACTAAAATTTGTTCCCTCTTTAAGGCAAAAGGGTCAAAAAATTAGTTTGAATTAACTGTTTTTGGGGATATTTTGAAATATTTTTATTGTATCAAAGTTTTTATAATATATTTTAACAAATATTTTAAAATATTTAAGAGTAGAAGGGTTTTTAAAATATATTTTAAGATATTTAAAGAATGGAGAGTTTGAAACCAAGTCTCAGCTAAAAATCGCCTCTGCAATAGATTTACATCAAGAATTAAAACCTTTTGGGTAGGGAGAATTGATTTTGCTCACGACACATCCAAGATGAACCCCTTGACGAAACAGACTAGCGGCGAATAGCCACCCTCAGTTCTTTTCATCCACATTCTGGCTGATGATTGAATAGCGTCAAAAACCCTGTCATATAACTGAGAAATTTTGATAGAATATATATACATATGTATATATTTTGCAACTTGTGAACTCAAAACCGTCTCTCTCCCCCGACAGTCCCTTCTTGATTGAGAGTGTTCTACACATAATTCATGCTTGAACAATGAGTGATGGGCATCTCCTAATCCTTTTTGTTCATTCGTATGAATACTTCTCTTTTGATATTTTCATGTAGAGACAACTCCGTCAAAGGCATCTTGTAAACTGTTCCTAGTAAGACCACCGAACTCTCACAAATTGGTAGTATTATATGCTTTGTATTCGCCCTTTTGTCCGTTATGCTTTTCTTCAACTAGAGTACACAGAATTCATGCATCAGCAAGCTGTCTTTTGGTATAAAGTTGCTATATTTGTGTTTACTATGTTCTCTTTTGATGGATTCTCCGCTGCTTGATATTTTTCCCTGGTATGGTATTACTTTGATGGGTTGAAGTTGAAATTTTGAATTTAGGCAGAAACAGCTGCAAGTGAAACTACCACATGGGATTTTGCTTGTTATTTGATTGTAAAGGTACAGTCTTTGAGGGGAAATTTGTTGTAGTTCGATTGATATGGAACCACAACTGGGATTGATTGAACAATCTTTTCATGTTAGATACTCAGATGGGGTTAGAGAAGCACTTGATGAATTGGGTGATAGTTTCCTTATAACTGATCCTTCCATTTCTGGGCACCCAATTGTGTTTGCTTCTAGTGCTTTTCTGAAAATATTTGGTTATTCTAAAGACCAGGTGATTGGGAAGAATGGAAGAATGTTTCAGGGGCCTAAAACTAATCGAAGATCTGTTCTGGAAATTCGTGAGGCAATTAGGCAAGAGAAGGCTATACAGATTAGTTTGTTGAATTATAGGAAAGATGGGACTCCATTTTGGATGTTGTTTCATATGTGTCCTGTTTTTGCTAAGGAGGATGGAAGGGTGGTTCACTTTCTGGGAGTTCAAGTGCCTATCTTGAGAAAGTCCGGAGTTGTGAGGAATCCCTCAAAGTTGTGTGAAGATGGAACCGGATTTCTTGGGTGCTGTCGGAGAGAGGTGACTTCTGATTCAGTCATGGAAGTGGGACGTGGATTGGCTCTGGATTACTTATTGAACTCAGATGATAGAGGTTTGTCTCAAATTCTAATGTTTCCAGTGCCATAATAGCATAATATTGTGCTTTCATTGCCACTTTCAGTGCTTTAGCAAGTAAAAATTTGTGTCTTGGGGGGTGAGGTAGGGCTTTTGTTTGTCACTTTTGTGGATTGTTACTCTCCTTTTTGGGAAGAAACAGTGACCCACGTACAAATGCTGAATAGTAAGATGTTACTTTATCTCACATTTGGAGGAGTAGGATTATTGTAAATCAGATTCTCATTTTTGTTAAACCATGTGATGTTTACGTTCCTTGATTTGTAGAATTAGAGATCGATCAGCCTTGTGAGGCAAGTGAGCTGGAGAAGAGGAAAGCTGCTACTGCTATTAGCAACATTCTCTCAGTCCTAGCTCACTATAGTGCGAGTGAGGTCACTGGTCGATTGGTGTGTGGAAAAGCATGCTGCCTATCTGGAATGGGTCTTGGTGCCTCCATTAATATATCATTTGGTAGAATCAAACAAAGCTTTGTATTGTGAGTTGTTTCAATTTCCAACTATTTGTAACTGTTGCTGCCCAATAACTGTATTCTTTCCCCAGGTTATTGATGTTCTGCTTTCCATTTTTTGGAAACACTTTCTGTTTCCTTGCAGAACTGATCCACACTTACATGACATGCCAATTGTGTATGCCAGTGATGCCTTTCTGAAATTGACAGGTACCTACCAAATATCGGTCAACTTGTTTGTTTGTCTGTCTTAATCAAGCTCAATCCAACCCTGACGAACTTCCACTTGGTAGAAAACTTCAAAACGATGTCTTTAGTCTTCTCATTTTGTTCTTGTATCCATGATTCAATAGGTTATGCACGGCATGAAGTATTGGGGCGTAACTGTAGATTTTTAAGTGGGCTGGACACAGTTTCTGCCACTCAATTTCAGGTAACTTATTCTCCAATTTGGTTTTGTAGTCAATCTTTGTTTTGACTTTGAGGGCTTCAAAATCTTAGTATTCTACATAAAAGGAAAGCAAATGAATGTAACCGCTGGCTAATTGTTCTTTGTCAGATAGCAGAATGCATTCGAAATGAGAGACCATGCACTGTACATATCCTTAATTACAGGTATTTTTAATAATTTACTCATTCTAAGTTAAATAAAAGTGAAAGATCTAGTTGATTAGCAGCTTACTGAATTCATGTTTATAGCTGAATCATCTGTATTGCCATTTTGTTATCAGAAAAGACAAGACTTCATTTTGGAATTTTCTTCACATTTCACCTGTCCGTAATGCTACAGGAAAGGTAATTCTTTGGCATTCAGCAACTGTCTTTTTTTTTTGTCCCCTACTATCACTGGGTAAACTTGCTGATTGTCAATTAAAGAATGTCTTTTGTATCACTGAGCTAGTTCTTGGTAAGAAATTTTGATGTTATACAGTCTGGATATCTGCATTGCTTATGGGATATGGATCTTCCACACGCACCATTAATTTGCCTGTAATACTAAAGCATCAAGACATGACCTTTGCACTGAATATGACACTTAAAGCATTACTTCCTCGTCCCACTTTGATAGTCTTGTTTTCCATTTTTATCCATCCCAAATTATAGTCCACTTTCAAATTGAAGAATATGGTTAGCTTTTAACTTCTCTAGAATGCACTTATTTAATGTACTTTGTTATTAGTGAATGAAATCTACCTTATTCATTAATTGCTTTGATTCATGCCTTGAATGATGCAGTTTTTCATCAATATTGTTGTTGCAATTAACGAAAAGGTATAATGGTTAGTTATACTAATAATATTAATGTAAGGGTATTTTATGAAAATAGTAAGCTAGATTCATCCTTCCAATAAAGTTGACTAATTTTTCTTAAACTGTGTGAAGCGGAAAAAAAAAAACCAAAACTATCAAAGTGAGACGGAAGGAGTATGATAGTTTTGTTTCTCTTGCAGATACAAGCAAATTCTTGGTTTTTTCTCAGTACCATGATAATCCTCCTCATCTTCTTTGTTTTCTCCTTGGTTTTTCACTTTTTTGTTTCATTTTACCTATTGTATTGTTGCTTTCAGCATAACTCAGTAATTAGGTTCAATATACTAACAGTTGATCTATGACTCAATGATAAGTGATATTTTCAGTTAAAGGATATGATAATTGTGAAACTCCATCAATTTCTGTCAATAAAGGATTTGAAATATGATAATTGCGATAGTGACAATTGAATTCAGATTTGAAATGTGATAATTGCGACAGTAAGCCACTAGATTCAGAATGTCGGGAGTTCAATTACGAATCTACAAAGCGTATATCATTGCAGAAATTTTATTGTTTTTCTATCCATACAGCTTCGCTACCATCAGATACACCCTCCACCAGTGATTTATATTTCCATTAATCTTCTCCTCGTGCTTCCATGTCATATTATTTTATTTTATTGTTATTCTTTTTTTCCCAGTCTGAGACTAATTTCCTCATTATTGTTATAAAGCTTCATTGGTGTTTAGTTCTTTAATTTGTATCTCTGTTAGTGGATATGGAATAAGAAAATACGGTTCAAATTGGAAGGACCTGATTGGATGCAATGGTAGCATTATTACCTGTATGTTTTAGATGCATGACCTTTATTGCACATTGCACATTTCTTGCTGCTTGAGATAGCTGAAATCATTCTGTAAAGTGTACTCAAGCTTCGTAACTTTTAATGAATCTCCTGATCGATAACATTAAGAGATTTCTTGGACTAATCATTTATAGATAGTAGCATCTCAAATCCTGAATTTAGCTCATTTGTGATGTTCTACTTCTGCAATATTCTCGAAAATTTCGGTGCATATTGCATCTAGTGTAGATCTTACTATGGACTCGCGCACGATGTATTTTGAATTTATTACAAACACTCTCTTACTCCTGTCATCGCATGATCAACATGGACTCTGTAAGCATCTAATGTAGCACGTTCCCTCTTGTTGCTTGATGCCTGCACAGGTAGCATACTTTGTGGGGGTCCAGATAAGTAGTAGTTGTAACAGTCAGGGTAAACAAGGGTTGAGTCCTGCGATGGAGCATCTTAGCGTTGTGGGCGCTGTCAAAGTGGCGGTTAGAAGCTTGTCAATAGGTGCCAGCACCTCCTAGCAGCCCCTAGTTTTTTCTGATTTCATTTTTTGTTATCGTGGATGTTGCTGCCTGAAAAGTCATCGATCAAAGCGGTTTCAGGAAATGTAGATGTTGGGAGACATGGGAGGTAGATTGTTGTATAGTTTGGACTTCATTGAACTTTGCATTGTTTCTTAGGCGACTAATGATCTGGAACAGTGCCTTCAAATTTAGTAGCGCGACTCCAGATGATATTGCTTAGAGGTGCTTTGCTTCCCGTGTAAAGTTGTCTTGATGTACAAACTCTTGTACTGAGATCTGAACTGGTCATGTAAGAATTTGACAGCGGTGAGTTTTTAAGATATGTGTCACATTTTTACCTGATTGAACTACATCCCACTATGATTCCAGCTAAATGGATTGGAAATTTGGAACGGCAACTGCCTATAGTCAAGACTCAATTGGGGCAGTGTTTGTGGGACAACAAATTTGATTCATGCGAGGAAATGTGTACGTCTTTAGACTGATTTGATAATCTGTCTGGGTGAAACATGCAAGCCAGGAAAGTTTACAGCAACTTTTTAGCAGTGTTGATAATCTGTATCTGTGTCGGCCTCTTCACATACTCGTTCAAAACACTGATTACGAACTTACGAGCACAACTAAATTTCCTTCCAAAGAGGCAAATCCACGAACCACTGCAGTCCCATTTCTCCAGCAATAAATATATATTTTTGGGCTAGTCTTGATTAACACAATTAAGTCTACTGATGCCCCTGAAGCTAAACTTTGTAAAAGAACTTCCTCATAATTAGGCAGCAAACTTAATTGTGACACCCTTAATCATAGTGATAGCAACCCAAGAAAACGAGTTTGTCTAGGAACTTTAACAGCGACTTAATCCAGCCATTATATACGCTCTAACGAGAAACCACCGCTTCTGCTTTAGTAATCTGCTGTCACCTGTCAATTACGAGGCTAGCTCCATCACATTCTCTATCCCCATTTTCCAGTTCTCAATCCATTTCCCGGCCAGAGTTTAAATTCAATCATGGAATCAACGCTCAATTTTCTTTACCCAAGAGACTAGACTTCCTTTTTCCAATTCAAGAAAGCAAGAAAAATGGCCTCACAAAATCACCGGTCATTCATCTTCTTGATCATCATCATGCTCGTTTTCCCTTTTCCCACTTATTCATCAATTTCATCCTCACCATTTCAAGAAAATAATCCACTCCCATTTTTCATTCATCCCTCACTACCTCCTCGGTCTGAATTTGAACCAGAACTTCCTCAAGCGCCGTCGGATTCGGCCAATATTCCTCCATCCTCATCATCCGGGCCCATAAACCCAGGTGGTTTATGGATTCTTTTACAAAAAAGTATAGGCATCTCCGCCATGCACATGCAGCTTCTATACAACAACAAAGTTGTCATCTTCGACCGGACCGACTTCGGCAGGTCCAATATCTCCCTCCCGTTTGGAAGATGCCGGTTCAGCGTCGACGACAAACTTCGGATCGACTGCACTGCTCATTCAGTCATTTACGACATTGTCACTAACACTTTTCGACCCCTCATGGTCCAAACTGATGTCTGGTGCTCCTCCGCCGCCGTCAACCCAGATGGAGTTCTTGTCCAGACAGGCGGCTACCGCGGCGGTGCCGATAAAATACGGTTGTTCACCCCATGCAACAACGATTTCTGTGATTGGCTTGAACTCCCACAGAACTTGACAGTTAGAAGATGGTATGCCTCCGACCAGATTCTCCCCGACGGCAGGATTATCATCGTAGGTGGCCGGAGAGCTTTTAGCTATGAGTTCTTTCCCAAGAACTCGGTGTTTTTCAGCAATGCTGAGGTTTACTGGCTCCAATTCTTGAAGGAAACGTCCGACCCGAGAGAGGAGAACAATCTCTACCCCTTCTTGCATCTACTACCAGACGGAAATCTCTTTGTTTTCGCCAACCAGCATTCGGTTATATTGGATTACGTTAATAACAAGATTTTAAGAAAATTTCCCCCGATTCCCGGCGAAAAAAGGTCTTATCCGTCAACGGGCTCGTCGGTGTTGTTGCCACTCCGGTTAACCGGAAGTGGTTCGCGGTTGGGGTCGCCGTCGCCGGAGGTGGAGGTGATGATCTGCGGTGGAGCTAATGGCGGTTCGTATATTCAAGCTAGGCTGGGTGTGTACGTGGCAGCTTCTAAGAGTTGTGGGCGGTTGAGGGTCACGGATCCGGATCCTGAATGGGAGATGGAAACAATGCCTATGAATCGGGTCATGCCCGATATGCTGTTGCTACCCACGGGTGATGTGCTTATCTTGAACGGCGCATCAAAAGGATCGGCCGGGTGGGAATTAGCGGATGACCCGGTTTTGCACCCGGTACTTTACAGACCCAGTGAGATGGATCCGCAACAGAGATTTACTGTGCTCAACCCCACAGTAAACCCAAGGCTCTACCACTCATCTGCTGTCCTGCTGCCAGACGGAAGAGTTCTAGTGGGTGGAAGTAATCCTCATGCGTTGTACAGGTTCACCGGAGTAAAGTACCCCACAGATTTGACTTTAGAGGCATTTTTGCCACCTTACTTGGGCCCACAATACTCCCAATTGCGGCCTTCAATTTTGACCTTCGAGGGTCCCACGGATAATATCATATCCTACGGTCAGCAGTTCTCCATCACGTTTACTCTCGGTTTGCACCCTCCCGGTCAAGATTTCAGAGTTACTATGATTGCGCCATCTTTTACCACGCATTCTTTTGCAATGAATCAACGGCTGGTGATGTTGGATGTGGTTGGGTACCAGCAGCTGTCTGCATTTGCGTTCAAGGTTACCGTGTGTGCACCTCCAACAAGAAATATTGCACCCCCAGGATACTATATGACGTTTGTTGTTAATGGGGGCATACCATCTACTGGTGTTTGGATAAGAATGAAATGATTATCAGATCAAATTTTGTTCCTATGGCTTTTAGTGAAGAGATTATTTTGGTGCAGTACACTCTACTCTTTTCATTTTTTATTTTCTTCTTAGCATTAGATAAGAAAAACTTGGTCATGTTATATAGTGTAACATAAGCTAGCTGTCTCTTAAAAAATTAATTTCCCACTTTCATATAGGAGTACTATCTCAAACTAAGGCCCGTTTGGATTGCATTTTCAATGAAAAAATTACTGTAGCGATTTGATGTATGTGAGGGAAAAAAGTACTCCATTCGTCCCACTTTGATAGTCTTGGTTCTTTTTTCACATAATTTAATAAAAAATAGTTAACTTTGTTGAAACAATCAATTTAAGTAGCATTTTTCTAAAATACCCTCATATTAATTAGAGTACAACTTTATTGGAACTTGAATTGATGGTAAAAAAAGAATAAACTCTCATTAAATGGGGTAGGTTTATAGTAACAACAACTTACATTGAATAAGAGTATTTTAGGAAAATTAAAATACGACTACATTTTTCAATTGGAAAGTGGACTATAATTTGGAACAGACGAAAAATGAAAACAGGACTATCAAAGTGGGACGGAGGGAGTAATAGGGAAATGTTATCATGAAAAACGATGCAATTTTTCGGCAGGAAATACAATCCAAACAGGGCCTTAAGGTCTTTGATGTAGATCAAGCTTAATTTCTTCGCACCATGCTTCGAATGAATGAGAGCTTAATGCTGGCCATTTGGAAGTCTCTTCTTCACACAAAACAATTTTCAATTTTCAATTTTCAGCATTACAATTACTATTTGCTTCCCCTTCTCTTATCTGTAACCCGCAAAATGCTTGTCATGCTTCGGCATTCAAAAAAATATGGCCCTTTCTTCTCATTTTCACACTCAAGTACGTATCCATGCTTGAGCATTAAAAAGGGATAAAAGCTCGTCCTTCAAACACAAGTAAAAGTCATACGCATTAAGTCTAATCCAATAACTTCACCAAAGCAAAAACAAATGAGTGCATAAAATAAAATACTTGTGAATTTAATGAGTTTCTTATCTTTAATTCCCAACCGATACTTACATAATTAAGTTGATTTTGCCAATTAAGACACACTTTGATTTGTGAATTTAATGGTTTGTTACGGTTACCCCCTTCCCCCGATTATATAAAGGCTTCACTCTAGCCTCAGAAACATGTACCAAAACAAAACAATTCCATTGCTTCTCTATACTCTCAAACATCCAAGAAGATCAAATCTCCGTAGTTTTTCTTTTCTTTTTTTTTCGATCTTCAGTCTCTATACTAAAATTCTTCATCATATCGCCAAATACAAGAAAAATAACCCAAAAAACAGTTTGATCAATGGATTCAAGATACCTATCTTTTATCAGCATCATCGTTCTCTCAATGTTCTCTTTTTTCACCTCATCAACATCTGAAGCAGAATTTCTTCCGTTCACAATTTCGTCCAATAAATTCGTCCATAGGGCATGGCTCGATGGCGACAACGTCAACACAGAAACGACATCTTCTCCAGCAAAAAGCCCACTCCCGTCTCCAAAGCCTGCTCCAAAGAGAGACGACGATATTCCTGAATCATCACCATCACCATCACCATCGCCAGTAGACAGACCAACCCCTAGAGCGCCTGCACCATCGCCGGTTTCGAGAGGCGCGCAGATTCCAAAACCGTCACCTTCTCAAGACTACGGCCCAGTTCCAGCACCAGCTCCAGCTCCAGCAAAGAGGCCAATTCCAGGGGGAGAATGGCAAGTTTTACAAAACTTCGTAGGCGTGTCCGCCATGCACATGCAACTCTTCCACAACAACAAGGTAGTGATCTTCGACAGCACCAACTTCGGCCCTTCCAACCTCTCTCTCCCTAAGCACAGGTGCCTAGAGAAGGATTACTTGAATCAAAAAAAGCCTGCCAACATTGACTGCACTGCCCATTCATTCCTTTACGACATCGCCACCAACACTTACAGACCCCTCTTGGTGCATAGCAACGTGTGGGCTTCTTCCGGGGCGAACGACGATGATGGCATCCTCGTGCAATCCGGCGGCTACAACCACGGATCGAAAAAGATACGCATATTCAGGCCAACCAACGGTGAAACTTGTGACTGGCTCGAGGTTAACCAGATGCTGAGGCAGGGTAGATACTACGCAACCACTCAAAGCCTTCCCGATGGGCGGATTATCGTGGTGGGAGGCCACGCAGCTTTCAGCTACGAGTTCTTTCCCAAGGCTGCAGTTTCTCCCGGAGGAGACCTTTACAGTCTTCCTTTCCTGAAATCAACCTTCGACCACATCGAAGTCAGCAATCTTTACCCTTTCTTGCACCTCTTACCCGATGGAAACCTTTTCATTTTCGCAAACAGACATTCCATATTATTA